TTTTTGAACGCAGAAAACTTACGTTCAGCAGTAGATTTTATCAGCGATCCAAACGCTTGTAAATGCGGCTAACCGCGTTTATAAGCGTTTGCGTTTGAAACATTTTTTTAACTCTTACATTTCCAGATGCTGTCCAGAGCCTTTTTTCCTCATGAAAAATGCATGCAAAGCTTTTTCCCGGTACTCAAATGGACCTGGTACACCATACTTTGAGGTTTCGCATGAAAGAAAATATGTTACACACTGCTGCAATAATTTCTGCACAGAAATGAGCTGGAACACATACAAACACCACAAAAAAAAAAGCCAGTTAATCTCAACAAATACTGCTCTCTCTGTTTCTGCTCTCTCCATTTCTCTAAAAATGTCTGAAATAGTTAATGTTTTACTGTTTTTCATGCATTCTGGGCATTTGGGAGGCCTCCTGAGGTTATCTTTAAAAACACCGCTTCTAAACTTAAACGCTCATAAACGCACATAAACGTGGTATGCAAACATGGCTAAACAGATGTTTTTTAACCTACATTTTCCAGCAGTCAGTTTTCATCATTCAGAAGTGTCCCATGTACATGGGGTCTTAGTCTGGCAGAAAAAAGACAAATGTCCATCCAGTTCAACCATTAAAAAGAAAAAAAAAAAGTTATCCCACACCCACAGTTGATCCAGAGGAAGGCAAAAAAAAACAGCAACGCATGAGCCAATTTGCTCCTGCAGGGAAAAAATTCCTTCCTGATCTCCCGAGAGGCAATCGGATTTTCCCTGAATTAACTTTTACCTATAAATGTTAGTATCCAGTTATATTCTGTGTATCTAAAAAAGGCTTTTTTTTTTTTTTTTTTTTAAAGCAATCCACTGAGCTGACCAGAACCAACTCTTGAGGGAGTCTATTCCTCATTTTCACAGCTCTTACTGTGAAGAAACCTTTCCGTGTTTGGAGATTACATTTCTGGTCTGATGTTTGTATAGTGACCAGTGTTCTAAGTAATCAAAAAGCACAGAAAAAGCAGAGTGCCGCTTCACAGCAGTGCACTTAGCACAGCGGGTTGCATGTTTGACAAGGAGGTGTGATAGGAGCTTAAATTGAAGGGGACAATAAAATATAGCTTTTCTTTTTAAAATGATTTCATGGAAAACCTTTCCTTTTACATGAAAATCAGTTGAATTGTTTGTGTCCTTTCATATCACATTACAATGAAGAAAGGAAGATTTTTATGAGTGCTTGTAGTAGGATATTGGCCATCCTGATTTAGTAGTTCATTTGGAACTTTGACACAAGTGCTGGTGTGTTCAAATTGTGGTCCTGCAGAAGTAAGAATGCTTGAAATTTTTAGATATCTTCTATTTTTTTTAAAGATTTTTGAATTCATCCATGATTACATGAAAGTTTTTTTTTTTTTTTTTTTTTTTTGTAGAAGTATATGAAAATTAGCCAGTGTTACATTTGCTTCAATTTATTGCGGAAAAGGAAATGGTTTTGTGCATTATACTACCAGTTGGAAAATACCTGTCTCATTACATGCTTAGGATGAAATAGGACCCAGGAAATATTGATGCAGTAGTTCTATGAAATATACATGAGGCGCTCATCTCTCCCATTAGTCTATCTTTGTCTACAGTATAGAATTCTATTCTTTTTAGATCTTTTTTTTTTTTTTTAAAGAAATGTTCAACCTTTACCATCCATAACCAGAATTCACAGAAAAAAAAGAATGTATGCATGCTGAGTTGTCACATTGTATTATTTACTATACTGAGCAAAGTGGGTTACTCAACTTTGACATAATCTCATTGTGCATGGACATAAGTGGAGTTGCTACAATTATTACCTGGTTATACTGAATCAAATGGCCAATTGGATCGATGCAAACTCTTATTCAAAATGCTTGGAAACCCTTTCATATACCCAGTGCAGTGACTAGCTGCAGACGCAGGGGCAGACTGACAACTCATGGGGCCCCCGGGCAATAGGGGATCATGGGGCCCCTGTGTCCTTGCCCAAACTCAAAAAAGTCTATGAAAAAGGTACCAGGGGCATCTCATGGGGCCCCCTACTGACCCCGGGCCCTCGGGCAGTGCCCGAGTTTCGAAATGGTCAGTCCGCCCCTGTTCAGACGATACACAGAGATCATCAAATCCTACTACATAGGTTGTACTTGTTTATCTGAAGTATTCTCATCTCTACATCATTAAAAGTGAATAATTTATATAGCTTGTCTGGGAGTTCAGAAAAGAAGGGGGTAGAAAACTCAGTGAGGAGAGTTCTGAGAGCTGATTGGAGGGAAAGGACACACCTCCTTCACACAGCTCACAGGAAAAGAGCTGAGACTGTCAATCTGCTGAAGGTCTCTCCCTTTTCACTATTTTTCTCTTGGTGTCAGAAAAATTTGTCAGGAGTGATTCTTGCTGATAGCAGAGGATTGAAGCAGCAGACAGAAATGACACTTAGTGCTCTTGATTCAGACAAGTACACAGTATGGCGGCAGAGTGGCTAAATGGTTAGCACTTTTGCCTGGCAGTACTAGGGTCGTTGGTTCGAACCCAAACCACGGCACCACCTGCCTGGAGTTTGCATGTCCTCCCTGTGCCTGTGTGGGTTTCCTCTGGGTACTCCAGTTTCCTCTGACACTCCAAAGACATGCTGGTAGGTGAATTGATTCCTGTCCAAATTGGCCCTAGTATGTATGAATGTAAGTTAGGGACTTTAGATTGTACGCCCCTTGAGGGTTAGGGACTGATGTGAATATACAATATATATATGTAAAGTGCTGCGTAACATTGACGGCGCTATATAAGTACCTGAAATAAATAAATAATGTGATATGCTGTGTTCATAATTCATGTCTGGGGTTTACAACCACTTTAACATGCTTGACCTAGTGGGCTGCTTTTTTCCATTTACCAAAATAGCGAGTAAGAGGGTAATGCTATTATTAAAGCAGAGAAATACACAGCAGTATGTTTCCCTAGTAAAAACACTCACAGCACACAGTTAACACTTTGATCGCCCTAGATGTTAACCCCTTCTTGCCCAGTGTCATTTTTATTACCACTGATCACTGTATTCGTGTCATTGGGATGTTAGGTCCCCCCCAGTGTCAGAATGCCTGCCGCAGTCCCTCTATAAGTCACTGATCGCCGCCATTACTAGTATAAAAATAAAAAAAATACAAATTCCAGTGTATATATATACCGCCATTTGTAGATGCTATAACGTTCACCTAAACCAATTAATTTACATGTATTAGGATTTTTGTTTAGCAAAGACATGTAGCAGAATACATTTTGGCTTACATTTATGAAGAAAGAATTAATTTTTTTTACTGGATATGTTTTATAGCAAAAAATCAAAAAAAAATATTTTTTTTTTTCGAGATTTTCGGTCTTTTTTTGTTTATAGCGCAAAAAATAAAAACCGCACAGGTGCTTAAATACCACAGAAAGAAAGCTCTATTTGTGGGGAAAATGGACATAAATTTCATTTATGTACAGCGTTGCATGACTGAGCAATTGTAAGTTAAAGTAATGCAGCGCCGTATCACAAAAAATGGCCTGGTCAGGAAGAGGGATAAATCCTCTGGAGGGCAAGTGGTTAAGTGAGCTCTAAATAATTCCTGTCAGGGATCTCGGGTCCTCGGCGGTGCGCGCATGCGCAGACGGCCGATCCGTCCCAGCCGGCGAGTGCAGAGTCCTCGGCGATCGCGGCGGCGGCCGCGCATGCGCAGTAGTGATCGCGGCCACACCAATGGGAGAACAGGGCGCTCTATTTAAAGCTGCCCTGTGCATCTCCAGGTTGCCGCAAGGTCTTGTTCCTGATCCTGTAAGTACGCTTCCTGGTTGCCAAACTCTGCCTGTTCTGACTTATGCTGACCCTCTCCTGCTCTGACCCCGGCTCGTCCCTGACCATCCTTCTGCCTGACCCTCGGTACCGCGCTGCCCGCTACCTGCTGAACCTGGCTTGTGACCCCGACCATTCTCCGCTTACTCCCCCTGTACCACGCTGCCCGCACGATACCGACCCGGCTAGTCTGACCTCGCTCACTCCTAGCTGTCACCCATCCATCCCGCTTAGATCGGGATCTGTCCATCCGTCCATCCCGCTCGGATCGGGATCTGTCATCCGTCCATCCCGTCATCCCATCCATCCGCTCGGATCGGACCTGTCATCCCCTTCACAGCAGGCTCATCCCGGGCACATACCCTCAGCGGGACCCCTCTGCCACCGCCGGGGGTGCCCAGGGGCGCGACCTGGTTCCAGTCTTGCACCAAGTCCATCCCCACCATCAGGGGCCCTGGTGAAAAGGCAGACTGGGACTTAGACTCCGTGTCCTGGGAGACCCCGTGCCGTGGACCACTAGAGATCCCGTTGGGCGGAGCCTGACAATTCCAATATCAGTGATGTATTTATTGATTCCTATTTACAATATTTTTCGCTACATTAGATGCACTTTTTTCCCCCCAAAAAAGGGGGGAAAATGTCACTGCGTCTTATGGAGCGGCCGGTCCGGTATTCCCACCGCCGCCGCCGTGTCAGAATACCGGGCCGGCCGCTTGTCTCTTCTCTGCAGCAGAAACTTACCTGTTCCTCGATCCAGCGCTGTACAGTCTTCCGGCGCCGGCATCTTTAGTGTGGGAATCCGGCTATGACAGCCGGGTGCCCACTGTGCATGCGCGAGAATCGCTGCGCTTTGTGAATGGTATGGCGTCTTCTGAGACACACGACAGGTCCCCAGAAGACTCCAGACCAATCACAAAGCGCAGCGCTTTTCGCGCATGCGCAGTGGGCACCCGGCTATCAGCCGGGTGCTCACACTAAAGGGAGGACAATTCCACGGAAGTGGGAGCGGGTACCTGTCAAATTCAGGTACCTGCTCCCCCTCCCTCCCCAAAGGTCCACAGTCTCTTGGTCATCCCCTGTACTGTCTGCAGTCTCTTGGTCATCCCCTGTACTGTCTGCAGTCCCTGGTCATCCCTTGTACTGTCTGCAGTCCCTGGTCATCCCTTGTACTGTCCGCAGTCCCTGGTCATCCCTTGTACTGTCCGCAGTCCCTGGTCATCCCTTGTACTGTCCGCAGTCTCTGGTCATCCCTTGTACTGTCCGCAGTCTCTGGTCATCCCTTGTACTGTCTGCAGTCTCTTGGTCATCCCCTGTACTGTCTGCAGTCTCTGGTCATCCCTTGTACTGTCTGCAGTCTCTGGTCATCCCCTGCATGTCCGTAGTCCTGCACTGTACTGTCCGCAGTCTCTTGGTCATCCCCTGTACTGTGTCTGCAGTCTCTGGTCATCTCCCTGCATCTGTACTGTGTCTGCAGTCTCTGGTCATCCCCTGTACTGTCCGTAGTCTCTTGGTCATCTCCTGTACTGTGCGCAGTCTCTTGGTCATCCGCTGTACTGTGTCTGCAGTCTCTGGTCATCTCCTGTACTGTGTCTGCAGTCTCTGGTTATCTCCTGTACTGTCCGCAGTCTCTGGTCTTCTCCTGTACTGTGTCCGCAGTCTCTTGGTCATCTCCTGTACTATGTCCGTCTCTTGGTCATCTCTGTACTGTGCGCAGTCTCTTGGTCATCCGTCTGTGTCAGTCTCTGGTCATCTCCTGTACTGTGTCTGCAGTCTCTTGGTTATCCCCTGTACTGTCCGCAGTCTCTGGTCTTCTCCTGTACTGTGTCCGCAGTCTCTGGTCATCTCCTGTACTATGTCTGCAGTCTCTGGTCATCTCCTCTCTGGTCATCTCCTGTACTGTGTCCGCAGCCTCTGGTCATCCCCTGTACTGTGTCCGCAGCCTCTGGTCATCCCCTGTACTGTACTGCAGTCTCTGTGTCCTGCAGCCTCCGCCTCTGGTCATCCCCTGTACTGTGTCCGCAGTCTCTGGTCATCCCGTACTGTGTCCGCAGTCTGATGTCTCCTGTACTGTGTCCGCAGTCTGATCATCTCCTGTACTGTGTCTGCAGTCTCTGGTCATCTCCTGTACTGTGTCTGCAGTCTCTGGTCATCTCCTGTACTGTGTCTGCAGTCTCTGGTCATCTCCTGTACTGTGTCTGCAGTCTCTGGTCATCTCCTGCAGTGTCCGCAGTCTGGTCATCTCCTGTACTGTGTCTGCAGTCGATTGGTTCAGAATATTTTTTTTTTGTTGTTATCCTCCTCTAAAACCTAGGTGCATCTTATGGTCAGGTGCGTCTTATGGAGTGAAAAATACAGTATTTTGAAGGGTTTTATATATATTTTATTTTTCTTTCATATAGTATAGTGTGGAAGGGTGTGCTGATTTTTTGGCCTATCCAAGTTTGGTTATATAATGCTGTACGGAATAACGACGCCTGTGCATTTTCTGACCTCTAACACTGGGGAGCTGGATCTCTAGGATCACATGACCAAAGCAGATTAAAAAAAGGTATAATATTTTTTAAGCAGGATAGTTTGGGGATGGCAGCATTTTTAAGAATTATGGTTATTAGCCTTTTCTTTCACTCCCGTCCGCCATATAAGGTAATAACAGGTGCAAGGCGGTTCTCTCGTCCTGGGAGGACATCATATGATGTCCTCCCACTCTAACCGCGCATGCGCGGCTCCAGGGGCGTGCAGCGATCGGTGGTGCGCTATGTCCCTCGGACACAGTGGATCACCGATCAACGTAAAGAGTCGAAGATGTCGGCTCGGTCATGTGATCAGCTGTGTCCAATTACAGCTGATCGCATGTAAATAGGGAAATGCCGGTTATCGGCATTTCTCTCCTCACGAGCTGTCACACTGACAGCTCGTGAGGAGTGGAGAGCCGGTAATCAGCATCCCTCAGAAGGGACATGTACACTGACCATCTGGGCACTGATGATCAGTGTAGCCCCAGCAGTGCCACCTGTCAGTGTCCATCAATGCCACCTGTCAGTGCTTATCAATACCACCTGCCAGTGCCACATCAATGTCACATATCCGTGTCTACCAGTGCACATCAATGCCAAATATCAGTGCCTATCTGAGCTGCCTTTCAGTGTCACCTATCAGTGCTGCCAGTCAGTGCCACATATCAGTGCCAGTCAGTACCGCCTGTCAGTGCCAGCTAACAGTGCCAGTCAGTGCCATATATGCATGCTGCCTTTCAGTGCCCATCGGTGATGCCTGTCAATGCCCATCAGTGCCACCTACCAGTTCCTCCTCATCAGTGCCCATCAGTTCAGCATATCAGTGCCCATCACTGCAGGCTCATTAGCGCACATCAGCGAAGGAGAAAAATCACTTATTTACAAAATTGTATAACAAAAACTAAGAAAAGATGTTTTGTTTTTTGTTTTTTTCAAAATTTTTAGTTGTTTTTGGTTTGTTTAGCAAAAAAAAAAAAAAACCCAGAGGTGATTAAATACCACCAAATGAAAGCTCTATCTGTCTCAAACAAAATTATAACGCTTTCATATGGGTACAATGTTGCATGACCGCGCAATTGTGATTCAAAGTGTGACAGCGCTGAAAGCTGAAATTTGGCCTGGGCAGGAAGGGGGTATAAGCGCCCTGTAGGCTAGTGGTTAAAAGAGAAGTATTGATGTTATTTTTTTTATTTATAAAACGTACTTGCCTAGGTGGATGCAGCATCGATCTCATGCTGCATCTGTCCCCCACTGGCTCTGAGGGTGAGAACTAAGCGATCAAACACAGTTGATTGCTCAGTTCTCCCTACCACTCTGAGCAGAGAGCGATGACTGTCAGTCACCGCTGTCTGCTCTGTCCCCCCCAGCACTCACTGGAGCACAGGGCTGTGGAGGGGAGGGAGTGGCTGGCTCAGGCTCTCGGCTTATATAAGATTTTGGTGATTGGAGTTCTATATCACTTTTAAGCCTTTATTCATGTAAACAATTCACATGTTTCCAAATACCTCAAAATATATCCTCAAATTCTTTTCTCAACAGTCTCTAATACATTTTTTCCAGAGAATGAAAACCTTGTACAGAGAAGGAAAATTGTCATTCCTTATGTGTCTTTTCTAAAGTGACAGTTTTTGCAGACAGATGTCAGACTTCTCATTTGCTTCCAGAACAGTTTCCTCTGACCTTCTGAAATGCAGTGTTGAAGTCATTATTCATGTAATATATTTGTAAAGTAGGACAATAATCCAATAAATCTTTGTTCCATACTTCTCTTACAGTTTTCTTTCCTGTGTAAGCTCCATAACACTGTAGATACATGGTGAGGTTAATTTTATTAAAGGAGTACAGAAAATTCACTTTAAAAGTATTTTTTATTCTAATTAAAGAGGTGAAACAAAGTAAAAACAAAATACACTGCAAAGAGTGCCCATCTTGTCAAAGACATATTTTTTTTAAAAAGCAGGTCTTTTGCTTGCACATGATTGCATGATTGAAGTCATTGCAGCTTCACCTCATTAACTTAAAGTGGAGTTCCACCCAAAAGAGGAAGTTTCACTTTCAGACCTCCTTCCCATTGTTTTGACAGGTACCTGCTCCCACTTCCATTCGGAACGCCTAGGCAATCCAAGCAGAAGTTCTTCCCCGCAGTCTTCTGGGACATGTGACAGGTCTCACAAGACTGCGGGACCATTCACAAAGCACAGCATGATTTGCACATGCACAGTGAGCACCTGGCTGTAATGCCGAAAGCCTCACACCCGGCTACCCAAAGTTAGGATGACGGCACCGGAAACCCGGAGGCTAGTGAAGAACTAGCCCAAGTGAGGACGGCACTGGATCTTGGGACAGCTACGTATCTATTAAAAGTCAGCAGCTATAGGATCTGTAGATGCTGACTTTTTGGGGGGTTTTTTTTGTTTTTACAGACTGAACCTCCACTTTAAAATAGCCATAGATGGATCGAAATTCAGACAGTTCAGCAGGGACAAGCTGAATTTCAATCTGTGTGGCCATGTCTGTGTCATTTGTCCAATCATCAGGCTGCAGCTACTCTTCAGTGTAGTCTTACATCCGAGAGTCCAACTGTCAGAATAGAGAGGTTTATTTACTTAAGCTGGAGAGTGCAAAATCAGACTCACTTCTGCAAAGAAACCAATCACCTTCAAGGTTTTATTGCCAAAGCTTAACTGTTCAAACTGAAGTTAGAAGCTAATTGGTTACTATGCAGAAGTGAGCCTGATTCTGCACTCTTCATCTTTAGGAAATAAACCCCACAGTGTCCCGGTTGAGAAGGATTCAAGCTTGCTAGTTTATCAAAATTTAAAAAAGTAATCTCTGGCCAGCTTGGGCTAAGGGAACCTTCTCTTTGAAAAGTGTATTTCTCTATTATACTGCTGTATACAGAAAAATGGACACTTGGCAGATAGAAGCTAAAGGCCAGCCCCGAGAGGCTATGATGATTTACATCTGCTCAGTCACATTTAGAATCCTCAGGAGAATAGATGTCTCTGCCTCTCTGCTTTATTTTAGCCCTTGAATTGGAAGATATTCTACTATCAACAGCTACTGGTAGGTTCATGATGTTTATAATAAATCCTGCAGGTTTCTCCAGTTAACCAATGTGTGCATTTTTTCCCAGTTCATTTTGTATACTAGTGATCTTGCAATCAGAAGCAACTATTCATCTGTGTTCTAGTTACACAGGACTTCACTATTCAGATCAGGTCAATATATCTGAAGATTCTTTACAGAGTTAACAGAACCAGAGCTGTGGCAGTTTCCACCTTACCCTATGTCTGAAGACTCACTTTTTTCAGTGGACATAGCAGACAAAAGCAGCCCTTGGACAGATCAGTTTTTTATCTTTTTCCATTCAACCAATGCTTGTCTGTGTGGATAGGGGAATCCTTCCTGCTGAGCTATTGTGTTTTGACAGTGGGGAGTGTTCCCCACTGTCAGATTACACTAATCAGTACTGCCGGCTATAGCCAGCAGCACAGGTCGAGTGGGGAAAATGGGACTGGTCAGTTGTAAGGAAGTCAGTTGGTAGATTGACTTCTGTACAACCTATGTGCTCATACATGGATCGAAATTCATCTGGGCCCTGCTGAACCAGCTGGATTTCGATCCATGTCAGGGGCGGACTGACAACTCATGGGGCCCCCGGGCAATAGGGGATCATGGGGCCCCTGTGTCCTTGCTCAAACTCAAAAAAAGCCTATGAAAAAGGTACCAGGGGCATCTCATGGGGCCCCCTACTGACCTCGGGCAGTGTCCGAGTTTCCAAATGATCAGTCCGCCCCTGATCCATGTATCACCGGCTTAATGCTGTGTTGGGGATTCTTCCCTTAATTGTTTGAGACAGTGTTGTCCGAAGCAGGCTTTGCAGGGTAGTGTGTGAAAGTGTTTTTTTCTTTTCCTTCTCTCTGATTCTGCTTGCTTTTTTAGGCTGGCCATAGAAGAGTCAGTATTTTTTTCGTTCAAGCAGGTTGAAGCTGATTCCCCCATTCACACATTTAAGGTTGATGCAGAAATCCTCTCCGATGTGTTATTTTATTCTGACAACTGTGAGAATACAAAATCAGCACTGCAGTCTGTAGCCTGCAGCCTGCAGCACTGATCGAGCTGCTAAACTTCAACAGGGTGGTTGAACAGTAGCTGACCAGTAGGCCAACTTCTGTTTAACCACAGTGGCCATACGTGGATCGAAATTCAGCCAGTCCCCGCTGAACTGGACAAATTTCTAAC